AATTTACAGCTGTTTTCATAAATTCTGGGACACCTAAAAATTTTCTCGTTTCCCGGAATCTTTTCGATTTCGTCTGATAAGTTACCTAGCTCTCTGGAAACTACATCGCTATTTTCGAACCTTCAGTCCGGAGACAGCGATGTAGTTTCCAGAGAGCTAGGTAATTTACCGGGCGAAACCGAAAAGATTCCGGAAACGAGAAAATTTTTAGGTGTCCCAGAATTTATGAAAACAGCTGTAAGCACAATATATATTATGGTGAGTTAAATCACATTTGATCTGTAACATTAATTTCGGAAACTCACAATTCCTGGTTTTCGCTTGACGACACCCATATCATGCTCAATCTTATATACTGATTGGTTAGCAGTGCCAACAATCATGAGCCCAAAGTAGATAAAAAAGATAAATCCTTATTAGCTAGAGGTTTTCTCTATCGATTTATTTATTTTAATGTAGGTTGTAAGTATAAAAAATTATTTGTTAGCTTGTGTATTTAAACTCTCAATTATTCAACTTCACAATATTGTCTTACAGCTGTTTTCATAAATTCTGGGACACCTAAAAATTTTCTCGTTTCCCGGAATCTTTTCGGTTTCATCCGGTAAATTACCTAGCTATCTGGAAACTACATCGCTATTTAGAACCTTCAGTCCCGGAGACAGCGATGTAATTTCCGGAGAGTTAGGTAATTTACCGGACAAACCCGAAAAGATTCAGGGAAACGAAAAAATTTTTAGGTGTCTCAGAATTTATGAAAACAGCTGTAATTCAATTCTCATTGTTCCGAATAAACAACTCTATTTCATGATCATCTAATATTCAATGAATATTCAGTGAATATTCATTTGAAATTTGATGATGAATATTCGGATATTAAAAAGATGAACGGATGAATAGTCGAATACTTATTTTTCGGCCGGATCAGACCTCTAGTCAAATATTTGAATTGAAATATCGATCATGCATTAAATATGTAATCGTACGTCTGAGTATAAATTTTCCTTTTCTTTTTAATGTCCGTAAATACTAACTTACATTTCCGTACACGTTTTAGTTAACTATAATTTGACATACGACCAATCGTTAACTGTTAATAAATTTTATGCCTGGTATTGTTGACACAACGCTGGGCACTAATGCCGGTGCCAATGCTAGTGCTGATGCCTATATAAGTGCCTACTTATATCTCTAAATTTTAAAATCAAGTTAGGCCTGTGCTTTAAATTTTTTTTTTGTACAGGTATGTGCCGGATTTGCAGAACCCTAGTAGAGATAAGACGTATTGAAGGTAAATATCTTATCAACCTCAATAAAGTGCAGAAAGATCCAGAATCCTCAATTTGCATATAAAGAATATGCCAAGAACAAAATTAAGCTATATCGAATTTCGTTAATGAGGATGACAAATTTAATGAGTTGGTTATTTTTTATTTTATATAAAGTAATGAAATTTTCAGAAGAATTACTTTCACAAATGTCAACTTCATAACGGAATTGTAGATTAGAATTAATTAAATTTAATCGAGAATTTAGCAGTTTAACACATCAATATCATCGCCGGGAAAAGATCTCTGGGAAATTGGGCATATCAGACATAATAAGTACGTATTATACGTACGGTGCATACACGCACGAAAATCTCTTCTTAGAATCTGACAATTATGAAGTAGCTTAAATTTGCTATTGAACAAAATTTCATTACATTATCTAAGCATGATTCTTTTCAGGACGAGAAAAAGTTTGCAGCGGAGGGTTTAGTAATGTACATAGTGTTTATTTCAAAGGATATTGAAAAGCTGTGGCGTCAAAGAGTTTACATTATACGATACTGAGAATGTTTTGAATGAATTTTTTAAACAAACATTTTATACAGTAATATATCAAGTGTGCTACTATTCACGCTATCGGACATTCACGTTATTGGAACTCTACTAATTGGCTCTAGAAATTCTAGTTTGGAATATGTATACAAGCCCGTTGGTAGTTGATGTAAAATTGTATTCCCGATATTTTTTTTATTGGTGTATCAATATTTCATTTTTTATGTTATCTAGCATGTAACTTAAAACTTAACAAGATTATTAGCTTTTTTATAAAGCCAGTATTTTAGTGAAATACTATACAAGAAAAAAAAATTAATATAATTTTTGCGCAATAGTTTTAATAATACAGTATAACTATTATTAAAACGTTAATTCATATTTTTGTTTAATAGCACCTTGGGATCACCGAGTTTTTAATTAATAATGAAGAAATTAATAATGCATAACTTCGATTATCACTAATAATATCGATATGTTGAATTAGTTAAACTACCAACGGAATAAATAGGAAGTATTTGAGCAATTATATTATACTAGGGATTGGAATCGATGACTAATTATTCGATCATCGATTGAGCATCGAAAATAAGCTTTCATTCACTGAGTTTTTAATTCAGTTATCATCGAGCATCAGTGAAATTTAAATTTTACTATTTGTTTTGATAATGATAACACAATGATACATTTTTGATTGAAATTTAACTGCGTTTTGATAACATGATTATATGGGGATCCCCACAGCAAAAAGTGGCATTGGGCAAAAAAAATTTTTTTAAAAAAAAATGCAATTTCTCGAAGAATTAAAGTAATGCCTCTTTTTGCTGTGGGGGTTTCCATATCATATTATTGATAAATTATATATATTAAAAATGTAGCGATAGCAATATAATTGATAAATGACACTAAATTTTTTTAAAAATTCATCTACATTCGAACATCAAAATTCTAAAGTTTGTGATCAATCAATGCTCGAAGCTCATCGATTTCACTTTCTATTTTATACATCCTAATTAGCTGCGCCATATATTATTAAGCCGGTATATATTAGTTAATAACTCGATCGATCAATTAATAATTAATTGTTAATTATTATAATTCGGGAAGTCCCATCACTTCCTGGTACGTACTGTATAAAGTTACTTTATCAAGAAGGTACTGTAGCGGCGCTATATGGCAATTTGACAAATTTGTAAGCCACTATAGTCCATAAAAAACAAGTGATTTTAATGAAATTGTATCAATATAGCTGCAATATCACTAATTATTGACAAAAAAGTTTTAACAGACTTAAATCTCTTAAATCAGCAAGTTTAAGATGCTAATAATATTTAAAAAAAAAAATAAATAAAATAAAAAACAAGTTTAGTATATATAAAGATATTTAACTTGGTATAAAAATCTTTTAAAACTATCGCTATTGTTTTTAATGAGAACAAATTCTCGTGAAAATAACGAATTAGAAATCGATTGATATCAAGATATACACGTATACGTAGATCTCGAGTTTTTTTTTCATGTCCTTGAATCTGATTGGCAAAAAATCACAAGACGACATTTTAGAATCTTTTGTCATTATCGTTATATATAAAACTACTAGAATATTCCCACGACTTGTACAAAAGACCAATTTTCGGTTTTTACTTACTCATCTTTCTCATCTTTCTCATGGCATCAAAAGTATTTACGGGCAATATGCCTGAAATAATGGAAAAAATTATTGATAACTTGGAGAAAGATTTTTATTCCTTATATTCGTGCTCGCTCGTAAGTCGTCATTGGTGTACGATATCAATTCCAATTCTTTGGCGAGATCCATTTTTTGTTGAAAATTTAGAGTTTATATCTACATACTTTTCATCTCTTAACTACAACGATTTTCCATCTCTTAATAACGATGAAAAATTGGCTTTAAAACAATGTGGAATAACTATAGATTCTTCTAATACACTATTTAATTATGCAAGATTTTTAAAAGTTCTCGATTTAGCACTTTTAGACAAAAGAGTTTCACATTGGGTCAACTTACGAGTTTCTAGTAAGCAAAAAAATCAAAATAAACATCTGTTAACATTTGATTTAGCAAATTTATTACTTAAAATATTTATCAAAAGAGGAGCCACTTTGACCAAGTTGGACTTATATTTTCGAGAGGATTACGTTGAAATTAGTGTAGAAGTCTTTGAATTATTAAAACAAAATAAGCAATTTCTTTCGCGACTTCAAGTTCTATTTATTACATCAATATCTGAACCTTTTATGAAAAAGGCTATTTTATTTTTAAGAATTTTAGCAGAAAGTGCTACTAAAATTATCGACTTGAAAATTAGTACACTTTATTGTGATTATGAGAATCATCAGAAGAGAGAATTATATCCTGAATTTGTGAAAATTATTAAATCACAAGAAAAGCTTATAAGATATAATTTTATCGGCGATGGAGGATTATTTTCAAAATTTTATGGAGTTATTTCAGCAGTAGAAAGTCATAAAAAGGTATTAAAAGAACTTTTAATAGATTATTGTGTTGATGATGGAGAGTTTAAAACGTTAGAAAATTGTGAAAATTTAGAAGTTATTCGTATCTCACGTTGCTACAATGAAATGGAAATATTAAAAACATTAAGTACTAGTCTTTGTAAAATCAGCACTTTAGAAATAAGTTCTTACGATTCGATTGATGTATCACATATAGTACCAATTTTAAAAAAGTCCAGTTCATCATTACAACGACTCAAACTTGATACTTCATCGGAAAAAGAAATTCTGTCACAATCATTATTATTTGAAACACTTATAGAATCCTGTTCAAACATTACTTATCTCTATATTTCAAGCGTTATTCTTTCAGCACGATTCTTGAAGCTTATTGGTTGCTTACAAAAACTTCAATTTCTATCTTTATGTTGGAAGGATAGTGGATCAGAAAAAGAGGATGTAATGAACTTGACACTTATTACTGACCTTGCTGAAATCTTACCATCGACATTACAATATCTTGATATAATTGATACATCATCAAGCTCATATATTGATACTTTACTCGATCATTGTAATGCACCTTTAAAAAAACTATTGTTTAATATTGACACTAATAATGATTATGGAGGAAAAATTGATTCATTGATCAGATTTTGTACACGAAAAGAGACATTGAATGAAGTATATGTGAATATAATGACTTTTAATAAACTTAATAGACCGGATTTAATTAGCAATTATTGGGATAAGATACAAAAGGATTTAAAAGAGTACGTTGAATTGGTGCCATACAGTGATATTTTTGTTGATATTGTTTAAGGTAAGTTTAAAATTCCCTAAAACAAAAGAGTTTTTTTATGGCATTAATAATAAACTTTTATAATTTTATTAATGGTTGTATGTTTTAGAATGTAAAGGTTTAAAGTTGTGTATTAATAAAGATTATTTATTGGTTATATTCATTTGAAATTATTAATCCTAAGAAAAAACTAATATGCCAATTTCATACGGCAATAATGGATATAGAATTTTTATATTAGTTATTGAATATTTAACCAAATAAGTATACAACACGGTGAATTTATGAAATTAAACTAAAACTCGGATATGCTGTATTAACGTTAATTAAACTTTTAAAAAAAAACTATCTATTTATTTTGACGCACCTTATTAGAAATATAAATTTATAAATAATGACGCACTATAACAATCAAAATTCAATATTACGTATTAGTAGTCAAATTATTCGTATTTTGGTATTTTATAAATTCGGTACAGTGATTGAATTTTGATTAAAATGGCCTAACTAGAGGGTCTAAATAATAATCAGAAAACTATATAAGAAAAAAAAATATCTCAATAATTACAGTCGAAACTATTATTAATCATGTCTAACTATACTTGATATCTCTTGTTGATATTTTAATGCAAAATAGTATATGCTGTATAAAGTTTAATAATGATGATTTTAGTGATGGAAAAGCCGAAAGATTTTAATATTTTAGAGAGAGAGGATCTTATAAATAAAGTGTAATGTTGTGATACGACAATTTTTTCTATAGTCAATATTTGCGCCTCACCTAATATAAAAACTGCAAGAAACTTTCAACTTTCAATTTACGTTATACAAATCCTAAATGGATAACTCTTGATAAAGTAAAATCTTGATATAATGGATAAAATTCAAATCACGCCATAGTAAATTCTGCTTGATAAATTCACAATATTTCGAATTTTAGTTAATTTCTCTCTAGTTGCCCAAAAAACTATTATAAAATTCATTTCTCCAATCTTTCATCAACCTAATATCATAGTTCTCGAATCTATTCTCACTTGCCCAAAGCAATTTAGGTAGAGTCGGAAAAATGAATTTCGTTATAATATGCAGTAAAATTCTTATATACTGTATTATTAAATATCACTCAGGTGCGAAGCATAAAGGTTGTTAATAAATATAATATTTAGATGCTACCTTTTTTTGCTTTGATAATTTCTTTTTAAGAGCAATCTTATATATAATAAGGATTGGAGCTGTAAATTAATCCATAAACCCAGGCTGAATTATGTTAGTCATGAGCCAAACCTATCTTAATGTCGGCTGAGTACTGTCGACATACATCGCGTTCATCTTTTTCTTCAAATCGCGTTCCAATAAAAAAAAAAAGGTATATAAAAGTTTTTTTTGCCTTATTTACTTTTTTACATCTTCATATCTTCATCGTACATTTTTTTAGCACCTGAATCATGTGATATTAATCTCATTCGACATCTTTGATGAGAATTTTCACTTTCTTCGTACATTTTTTTTAAAACCGGAATTGATTCAAGATAATGCCGCACTATTTTACACAATCTGCTCCCTCCGACCTTCATGTCTTCACACCAGTTCTACATAAAGTGCCCTGTTTGTGATATCACTCAAGATCGCTTAACACAAAAAAATGTCGTTTCGCCACCATAAAAGATGTGTATTTATTTGATCTCACGTTGAATTCCCGATAACTAAGAAGATAATGAATGGTAATAATAATAGTAATGATATATAGTAATAATATCAAGTTATGATAAATTGTAATTATATACTCTACATTTCTTGTTAATAATATATCGAATTTACTTTTTTTTCAACTAGATCTTACTCACAACTTTAAGAAAAGAAGAAATTGAAGTTCTTATTAGAACTCTAGAACAAAATAAGAAACGACGAACAACACTCCCATCTATATATTATCCTAAATTAAATGAGAGAACTCACTTCAAAATATATTATTACTTAGAACTAATAGAAATCCCTCAATAATTTAATTTTATATCTTTAAAGCAAATGAACCACTAAAGAAGTACTGCCCGCTCTCATACTTTATTGATTTTATAATTTGTATATATTGAATTATATAAATAAAGTTTATAAATAAATGAATAGTAAATAAAATTATACATTTGTCATTGATTATGAGTATCGCAATTTTTATCTATAATTATTAAGCATATTAACGTTAATAAAAATTGCGAATATTATAATCCATACATTAATTATGCTAAATATGTATCAAACAATGATATATTCTCGTATAATTAGTTCTGCCTTTTGATAATAATCGTGATAAGCTCAGTATAAACAATAATATTATATATAGTTATAGTCGCGTTTATTTTTTTGAACTTGGAATCATTCCTTAAACTAAAATCGTTTTACAATGTCAAATATTAATACCTCTACTACAACTGCTTCTTCATCTACTCCAACAATATATCGATCTTCTCCAACAATATATCGATCTTCTCCAACTACCTCAAGCAATAATTTGAGGGAGCCAAGTCCTTCACTTAAATCACAGAGGCTTTCTTCGAGAGTTTCAAAAGCTTCATCGCCAACATCAAGTTTACCAACTCGAAGACCCCGTACTTCAGCGTCTTCACGCGTTGCAGGTCGTGGGGAATCTCATTCATTTATTGTTGCTATAATTGAAGGTCGAGGTATATTAATATTTCAAAAGCATTATTTGTATTTCGAACATACGATTTGTGCTTTATTTTAAATTTTTTGTCAGGTGTTGCAAGCGAAGTTGGAATGTGCTTTATTGATTTAAAGACAAGCGAATGCATATTGTCTCAGGTATCATTTGTTGTATAATAATATAATAAATCAACTAAAAGTAATTATTTAGTTTTTAATTCATTGAAGATTGCCGATTCTCAGACTTATGTAAAGACTTTACATAAATTGAACATTTATAATCCTGCCGAAGTATGCTGCCAATTTAGTATATTGTTTCAAATTTTCTCATTCTTTGATCATTACTAATTTTTGTGGTTTGTCTCAAGATCTTGTTGTCAGCAACTGCGGTTGAACCTTCCAAATCAAAGTTATGTAAAATCCTTGAAGACAATATGCCGACGGCAACTATCGTGCCGATTGGAAGAAAATATTTTAACGATGCTGCTGGTATGAGATTCTCTTTTTTTCTATTATTTAATACTTTGTGGGTCATACTTTAACAAGATAACATTTTATATGTATTAAGGATTAAATTATATAAGACAAGTAGGTTATTAACATAATTGGTTTTTTTTTTCAATTAAATGTTAATGAAATTATTTCTTTTAAATTCAGTATAATTTGGAAGAAGGTTCAGCTTTAATACTTGGTTTGACCTCCAAGTAAGCTCGTTCTTAATATATTTTTTTTATAGATTTGCAACATATTTATACAAAAACATTATCATTAATAAAATAAAATTAGATTTTATTGCCTTGCTGCAACGGCGGCAGTATTAAAGTATGTTTCTATTAAGTGAATATTGTATATTTGTTTGAATTATTTATGACGGTGTTTATTTTAGGTACATTGAAAGTACTCAAAACATTTTCTTTACAAACCATTCCATCCAATTCAAGTATAAAGGATGTGAAGGTAAGATCTTTAAGCTATGATTAATATTTATAACAGAATATACGACTGACCTATAGATTATATTTATAGGAACAATGATGATTGGTATTGTCTTTTTTTTCTGATTAAAATGATTATTCTTTTTCTATATGATAGAAATGACATACATACCGTATTTTCAAACTTTTAGATTATGTGACGGCTCGTAATCTTGAGCTTATTTGCAACATCGTCAATCCACATAATAATCACTCACTTTATGGTATGCGAAGAAAAGAACAATGTTGATAAATTATTTCGTAATGTCTTATGTTTTTTTTATATTTCTGAAGGTGTTCTGAATAACACTTCTACTCCTATGGGAGGTGAGTATTTTCTGACATTTTGATAGTGTATAAGAAATTGAAATAATATTTCATTAATTTGGCCAGCTCGTTTATTGCGGACAAATATTCTTCAACCATTGAATGGTAGTATCATTTTTATTTTCTATTACAAGTCACCCTCATTAAAAAAACAATATTTATTATAACTTATATGTACTCATTATGTTGAGCCGTCAAATTCTTCATTATATCCGAATCTTCATTATATCAAGAGTTCACTATAATGAGAGTGATTTGTAGTCTAATGAATCGAGTTCGTACTAAGTTAACACTTTTTTTATAACAAGACATTGCCACAATCAATATGCGTTTGGATTCTGTTGAAGGTATGTTGCACTTTGTTCATTTATAAATTTTCTCGCGTTGTAATAATATTTCATAATAAATTATATAAAATTTTATAAATTATATATATAGAACTTATCCAGAACGAGGTATTATTCTAACTATAACAACTTTAATATATAAATTTACGATGCCTTGATGTAATTTCATTTCGTTTACCTAGGAAACATTCTTCTCAATTCAAGCGGGTAAGTTTTCACGATAAATTCAACCAATGATGATATCTTAATTCAGGCTACAGAATTTGCAATATGTTTTAGATTTTTTTAATTTGATTTTTTTTTATTAACATAGCTCTCAAACCATTTCAAGATATTGATCATTTAATTACAGCTGTAATGAATCAATTTTTTACACGCATTTTGTTAATTCCCTTATTGCATATACTCTTAATTAAAATAAAACCTCCGTTGTTATATTATTATAGCTAATTCAAGTTCCTCAAAAACCATCTATTAAACACGCTGAACAAAGTATCAATAATGTGATCATGCTTAAACATACATTGAAACTAATTGAAAAATTGAAAGAGGCATTGAGTGAATGTAAAAATTCTTTGTTGTGCGCAATACATAAGGTAGGATGAGTAAACAGAAATACGTGTCGCGATATTCAATGCAATTATATAATCAAAAATCTCATGATGCCCATAGCTTCTTTCGGATCCGAGACTGGTTATGTTCGAAGAACGTATAAATGAAGTAATAAATGAGGATATTACGTATCAAAAAAGTTCTCTTGGACTAAGAAATCAACGTTGTTATGCTGTTAAGGTAAAAATATATACACAATTATTTAATTTTAAGGTGACTGAATATTAATCGGTACTTTAATTAGGCAGGATTCAATGGGTTATTAGATGTTGGCAAGTATAAAAAAAATCGTATTGCACGAAATAGTTAGTTACTATTTATAGTTATAACTTTAAAATTTATTTTACCATATTTTAGCTCGACAAACTTACAAAGAAACCGTCAATGATATATACGAAAAAGTGGAACAATATAATCGTAAGTTAATAATGTGGAAATGTGACAGAATCTTTAAAAGTATTAATACGATACGAAATATATCTTTTCTTTTTGTTTTTAGAACAATATGAAATTCCATTGAAAATACAATTCAGTCCGACAACAGGATTTTATTTGTCAACTTCAGCTGAAAATTTGGGCAGCCGTCAACTTCCTCTTGTGTTTATCAATGTTAGCAAGAAAAAGAAAACTTTGACTTTTACTACATTGGAATTGGTATATACTTAACCTATTAGTGTTATTTTAGTTCAATGCTATGTATTTTACAAAACAGATTATAAATACTTTAATTTTTCATGCTTTCAAGATGAAAAAGAATACTAAAATTAATGATTCTCTAACTGAAGTTTACTTAATGTCAGACAAGTATGAAATTTTACTCAATAATGTCCGATTATTTAATCGATTTCATCTTATGTAATTACTTATGATTTGTAAGAACAATCGAAGATCTGATCTTAGAAATACGGGGTAGCATTGTTGTCCTATATAAGGCATCAGAATCAATTGCCATGTTGGATATGTTAACATCTTTTGCTCATCAATGCACTGTTTCGAATTATGGTAAAACAAACGATTCTTGCTACTTTGCATTCAATAATCAATCATATTTAGATACATAATATAAATAATGTTAATTTTTAAATTTTGTGAAAGTTCGTCCTGAATTCACAGACACATTGGCTATTAAAGAAGGAAGACATCCAATGCGCGAATTCCTCTACACTGATCATTTTGTTCCTAATGATACATACGCGAGTGACGCAACGAATTTCCAGATAATAACTGGACCAAATATGAGTGGTAAAAGTACTTATTTAAGACAGATCGCCTTGTTGAGCATTATGTCACAGATTGGATCATTGTGAGAAAAAAATCCACTTTGTTATTTTCTATGTAGTTTATTTGCGGATCCTATTCATTTTCCCGACAATGTTAAATTTCCGAGAAGTTAGCCCGCATTAGGTTAGGTTAGGTTAGTTCTGGTCAATTTTTTGTCGATATTTTGTTTTTAGGGAAAGTGGTTGTCGGGAAAATGATAGAGACCTGTTCATTTGAACATTTAAGTTTACGACATCAATTTTAGTGTTCCTGCAGAATACGCATCTTTCAGACTGATAGATCAGGTATTTTTTTAGATAACATATACATAATTTGTTGAATATTTGTTTGATAACTAAATTTAATCTTTATAAAGCTTTTTACACGTATATGTAATGATAATAACATTGAATCCAACGCAAGCACTTTTATCGTCGAAATGCGAGAAACAGCTTACATCTTACAAAACATAACTGACCACAGTTTGGTCATCATAGATGAACTCGGAAGAGGTGAAAACATGTTCAAATAAATAGTTTTCAATTTATTTCAAAAAAAATTAATATACATCTAAATTACAAGGAACATCAACTCATGATGGACTGGGTATAACGTATGCTATTTGTGAGGAGCTTTTGAAAACAAAGGTAAAATGACAAAACTGTTTGATATTTTTATAATTTACTTGGTTATTAAATAATAATTTTCTTGGAATAGGCATTCATTTTCTTTGCTACACATTTTCACGAACTCACGAGAAGTTTAACTGTCTACCCTAATGTAGTAAACTTGCATTTGGAAGTCGAAGTAATAAAAAAGATTCTTTATCAGTTGTAAATTTTGTTAATATTTTGACTAAACTATATATTTATAACCGAATAGCTTGGTGAAGAAAATAGACGAGCAGCAATTAAATATTTGTACAAAGTAAAGGATGGAAGAAATGATGACGAACATTATGGTACGTACGTCTTTCAATTTTATTTTTATAAATTATAAATTACGGTGGTTTTTTACACGTCTATTATTTCAGGGTTAAAGTTTGGGCAGATTGTTGGATTATCTGATGATATAATTCAAAAAGCTACTGAAGTTTCGCATAAGGTTTGAATTCAACATTAAATTTCATGGTAATGACATTATGAACGAATAATCAATTTGTACTATATTCTATTTAAAGTTAAAGGATCTTATCGATGCTAATAAAGAGAAATCGTCTTCAAACAAAATAACTAAACGTAGAAAGGCATTGCTTCAAGTACGTAAACTTTATCATCAATGATTGGATGTATCAATAGTCTTGCTTACTAAAAATTTCGATATAGCTATCTCAACACCTATTGCAAATTAAAAGATCTTCTAACTTGGATCAAGATGGATTAAGAAGGTACCTTAAAATGGTTCAAGAAGAGTTTATTACTAGAATGGAAGAATTAATGTAATGAATTGACGCAGCATTACATAGTACTACGTAATACTGTACGCACGTACACAGTTGAAATCACAATTATTATTTTTATATGTTCTAGTGTGTCCGTGAACTTTCAAAAATTGGAAATGTATTAATAATATTAAAAAATCATGCCATCATTTCGTTGGCAGGAATGTATTTTGACAATTATAAATCGGGAGATTTATCAATGATGAAGTCAATACGTATTAATGTAGTAAAGATACGCATATACGTGATTACCGTGTTTAGTAATTGAACTAAAATATAAGTGTACAAAAATTTTTTTTTTTCTTTCCTTTTTTTTTTGTGCATCCATCAAATTTTGCACAGAAATAAAATCGCTCCGAGTAATAAAATACTCGAATCAATTTTTTAAATCAAATTTTTGTATTTTTATTCAAAAAAAAATGTCTCAAAACTTACGTAAAGAAGCTGCTACTCGAGCTTCTCGACGCGCGAGTAGTAATGCTAAACCATTGGTTTCCGTTTATACAAGCAGTACACCCCTGAGCAGTCGTCATAATACTGACGACGAGGACTTATGGAGTGAAACTTCAGCAGACACTGTCGATTCTTGGGCTTCTGCTGGCAGTAAGAATGCTGAAGATGGAGTTTTAGAAGAAGTAAATTGGGAAGACGAAGTTCTACAGAATATTGAAGATTTAGGAGAAAAAAGAACAAGGTATCATATTATTTTATTATAATTTCTAGAATTGGATCATGCCCGAAATTTACAATTTTTCGACAATTTTCCATTTAGTACAAGAGAAGGATCTTTAACAAAGTTGATCCGCTTTCTCTCTCTTAAGTATGCGGCAGATCTCCTTGATACTAGGCGTGAAACTTTACTGGATCTTTTGTGCCGCTCGGTCAGGAAGGATAAAAGTTATAAAGAAAGTCGATTAGCTGCTAAAGGTTTGTAAATAAAAAAATAGATGCATATATATATATATATATATTAAAAATACTAAGAGCTAATCTAAATTTATCCATTAACATTAGTGATGTCGTTACTTTTTATTACTATTGGTGAAAGCCAAGAATCTATGTATAATAATGTATTATCTTTATTAAAATATACTATAACAAATAATGCATCAAAAGAAGTCAAGTGCGCTGTAAGTACAAATATTTATATTGGTTATGGTAATTGTATCGGATTATATTGTAATATGATAAAAACAATATGATATTGATATGGATAATATCGTGATTGGTTCAATTATTTTATATGCCATTAAATATTAAATATAATTAATATATACATTTTTTTTTTCAATATCCAGTGTATCCAGACATTAAGTCTAGCATGCTTTATCTCAGCTTCATATGCTGATGCCATAGAGCTTCTCAATTTTTTCAATGATATTATAGTGACTAATGGTAAAAGTGTTAATGCGAATAATGAAGGAAATGTAATAGAAAGCGCTCTAAACGCTTATGGTTTACTATTCTCTGGGCTATGGGGTGATAGTAAAAGAGGTTCAGATAAAGCTAAGGAAGTATTTGAGCATATTATGCCGGGTCTTATTAAACAGCTTGAATCTAGCACTATGGAAGTTCGCGTTGCTAGTGGTGAAATTATTGCATTGATGTTCGAATCTTTAGGAATCGGAAAAGTAAGTGGCACAGAGGAAAATTGGGGTCAACCACCAGACGAAGTAAGTAAATTTATTTTGATTATATTCAGAAAAGTTTATTACGTTCTTTTTTTAATATTTGATGTGTTATTAGTATGATGATAAAGGTGAAGTTGGTTACGATAATATGGATCATTTGACTCAACTCTTGAACACGTTGGCCACAGATAGTAATCGCCATCGCGCAAAAGCTGAACGTAAAGTTCAGAGGTCTGTGTTCCGAGATGTACTCAAAACTGTCGAGGTTTGTATTATTTTGATTGCCTATATGTTCGTCCACAACTTAATATTGTGTAGTATTTACAATGCATTATTGAATTACTTTGAATTTTTGTAGCGCGGAGATAGTGTTCAAGAACGGCTCAAGATCAAGAAACAAACAATTTACTTTTCTAGTTGGGCAAAGATTCTTCAATTAAATGCCTTCCGGGCAATACTTACTGAAGGATTGCATGTACATTTTCAGGAAAATGAATTGCTCCAAGCAATCTTTGAATTCGTGCCGCCTCCCACCTTGGTTTCCGGTCGACTAAGACCTGACTCAGCTTTAGGTTTTCATACTACTGGGTCGGATACAGATAGCTCGGTAACAAATAAAAAGAATAGGAAATTGAAGGGTAAAAAACATGATAAAAGAAAAAAAGGTGATCTTTTAGAAGTTGGTTAGCATAAATTAACATAGTTTAGTGATTGAACCCGTCTGAAAAACCATGACCGGTAATGCGGCGGGTGGACTCGCAGGTCACCCGAGTGGATAAGTTTGATACCTTGCGAGTGTTGCAAATGTAAAACCAGAATATTGTCATATCTGAATTTTGGTAATAGCTAGGCACGTCCAAATGCACGTGCTTTTATGTAAAAGATTTTTAAAGTATATAAATTATTTAGATATATTTTAATTTTTTATTTTTATTCCTTACATATTTATTTTGAAAAGCTTTTATATTTAATTCGTGATTCGTCTTGACCAAACTTAGTATTAATTATATATATATTTTGAACCTGGAGTTCAAAGGATGATATTTTTTCACTAAGTAAACTTAAATGTTGGTTGAACCATTAAAAAATCGGCCTAGTAGATCACGAGATATGAGTATTTAATCCTCACAACTATATCGAATTACAAACAAGCATAGTTATCAGAAAGAACCTGGGATACTACTAATTCTATAAATGCACTTTCCTCTAAGTGCACAGTCCTAAAAGTAGGGATGATAAAGACCAGTCCTAGGCTCATAACCTGTAGGTTTTACTGCATGGACTTATGGACCAAGCCCTTGAGTTAACTTAGGTCCAGTCCAAGACTTAGTCCTGGTTTACTTTTAATCAATTATTTGAATTATCATTTGAAATGTACAGTAACAGTACAGGACATGTCCATATATGAAGGCTTAGAAAGTTGACACCCAATTTTATATGTTATTTCTAGGGTTGGCATTACATAAATTACAGTTTTCGTTACATGAAATTACATTGTAACTTACGAAATTGTAATGTAACTTT